ATTATAGATGCATTTAACATTAAATTCATTCAGTTCTCACTTCGCAGGAAGGGAAAAATACATTAAAAAATCAAACACGTCTTCATTAAAAATAATAAAATGCAAGAAAGCATAAAACACTAAATACAGTTAAAAAAAGAATTTACGATTAATATTAGAGTTTCTGCGCCAAATTCACTATTCTACTAGGAATTTCAAATGTAAAAGGCAAGTGCACAACTGCATGATTTAGCAGTCCCATATGCAAAATTTGAGCGCTCTGAGAATACTCGATTTTGAGTTATGCAACTACAAAGGGAAGTGCAAAACTGCATACGTTATAGCAGTCCCATATACAAAATGTTAATGCTCTGAGACTACTCGTTTTGGTGTTATGCGGGATACGTACATACGTACATACAGACGCCTCAGAAAAATCTCATCTGAATTTATTTTAAATACATGTTTTATTAACCTAAGTATACATATTTATTTTTGCTATATACTCGAGGTACGTACAGATGTCAAAAAATATCTTCCGAATCCAACAACTAAGCATCTTTTGGATTGTTGGTAATTCTACGATTACTGCTTTCAGATTGACTAAAGGTATAGAAACCTTAACTGGATCATAAAAAAACATACTTCAATCACCTTTAAAGCAGAAAATGGGCAATTCACCAGCATATAAAAATAAACAAAACTGAGCTTCCCGAGCCGGTAACAGAATGGGTATGCGACCGATTGCAACTACAAAGGGAAGTGCAAAACTGCATACGTTATAGCAGTCCCATATACAAAATGTTAATGCTCTGAGACTACTCGTTTTGGTGTTATGCGGGATACGTACATACGTACATACAGACGCCTCAGAAAAATCTCATCTGAATTTATTTTAAATACATTTTACAATCCCTTTTGGGAAAAAGAGTCCTTTATTCTGTTTGTACGTACAGATGTAGAGAGGTGGAAAAAGCTATTTTCATTGAAATATGGTACTCGAAATTTTTCGCGATTACAATACTTCCTTTACATTGTACAATGAAGCAAAAATAAATATGTATACTTAGGTTAATAAAACATGTTTCATAAGCATTACAGTAACGACTAAATATATTGCCTGGGTGCTGTGTTTCGTAGATCGAGTATAACTGTTTTTTTAAATAAAACTTTCATTCAGCAGTTTTCAATCGAAAAGTAAATACATTTCTTTAAATGGTTATAGAAGTATTTGGCCACACAAGATTCCGTAAATATATGTTGCATCATTTACCTGAACTATGGGATGTGTTCTTTATATTATAATTTATAAACTGGCTGATGAAATCAAAGGCATCCATCATAATTTTTTGTCGAAATATATGATACTGAAATTTCATATGTTCACCTGGAAAGTATAAACTTATTAAAATTGCACAAGTGCTTTTTTCACTTTATTTTACAAGATTTTGATTCTCAACTTTTTTTTAATTGCCGAAATGCCCTGTTTAACGTTCTGTGCTTATTTCCTTATTCAATTCCTTTTTTCAGCCACACGCAATGGTCGAATATACCCTCTGCCACACCAAGTTTAGCCAATCATGCTGTCGAATTAATACCCACCATGGAAAAATCTTCAACCACTATTTTATCGTCTCAGAGCTTCAAAATTGGCACTTAACGTAAATTGGCTCCCGGCTGCGATCTTGTTTCCTATGATCGGCAATTCGCAATAAGGGTTCCTTCCCTTTCATTCCCCCTAAGCGGATTCTTCCACTTGAGCTACAGAGACCTCTTATCAAAAGGGCTGAGATCCTTTACTTACGTTTATCGATATATCCCTTCTTAGGAGGTGCGAAACGGCAAACTCAGCTTTTTTTTTTCTTTACTTAGTGAAATAAATGCTTTTCTCGAAATGGACAGAAAGTAATTCATCAAGCCTTACTTAGGTGGCACGAAAGCAGGTATAAATTCATTCTGTTTTGTATAAAGTTAACATCTAATAGTTTTGGTTCTTATCTGTTCCCTCTTAAGCGGAGTGGACCTAGCGGTAGATGAAAAGGAATGTCAGGTAAATTAAACAGGATTTTTAGTGTACGAAAGTTAGAATGCCGATATGTTGGAATTCAGCAGTGATTTAGAATTTACTTAGAATTTAAAGGATTTGTTGTTCATATAAAAATCTGATTACGCTAAGTAAATTAGACTTTGTAGAGTTATTAGATTATTTTAAAGCAGGAGGCATACTATTGTACACTATTTGAACTGTTTTGACTTATTTGTAATATTGTGAATTATTTGTGCATCTTGATTGAAACAGACGCTTGCTGATACTGAGTTATCGAATGTGCAAACCATTTAATCGCAAAAAAGAATGATTTTGTACACTAGAATAAATTATTCCGTAACTAATGCTTTTAAATTAACTAATGCTTTTAAATGTCCCAACCTTTTCAATTTTTCTTCTGTTACTTAAAAATGTGAAAAAAAAGTATACTATGTTTTTCAGCTATTTCTAAATATTTAAGGCTAATTATTATTTATTACTTACTAGTTATTATTTATATATAATTATTTATTTAATTTATTTAGTAAATGACACGAATCAAATCTATTGATCTGATAAAATATAGAGCTGCATTATAGTAAAGATGTTTATGTTCCAAAATTTATCTTTATAAAATTTAACTGATTTTTTTTTTAAATATAAATCTACTCTATGATTGCTAAATACTTTAAGATTGTTCTGGGTTCAAACGCCGGCGAATGAGGTGGCTTTAGATTTGGTTTTCATCATTTTTACCATCTGAAGAATGAAAACGAGTCAGTTTCCCTTAAAAAGACATCCAACAAAGCATCCCTACTCTTAAGTAGCTTACCCTTGCGAGCTTTGCATATCTTCAAATAAACAACAAACCTAAAACAACTCTAACATTTTAATCTAAAACACGAATATTCGTCCGGGCTTTTACTGCGTCACCTGAAAACTAAATAAATACAACAGAAATAAATTTTAAAAAAATCTAAAAGCTTTCAGATTTTATATTACGCACAAAGAGGCGCTTTTTTCATTTACATTTACTACATAAACGTTTCGAGAACATTCGGGCTAATGATCAGCCTATTTTTAGAATTTCCGATAAACAGTCTGGCCCGCTGAGGATAAAAAAATATTTTTCCCGTACAATTTTGCTATTGCTCGCTTTGAAATATTTGAGTTTGTTAATTAAAAATTCGTTAACGTTTTACAAAATATAAAATAGATAATAAAACAAATTCGTAATTCATAATACAGGCTTCCAGGCGCCCATTTTCGAGTGGAGAATTACGTTATTCAAAATGCGATGGCTGTAGATACCGTCGTTTATTCAGAATCCGAGAAACGTACATACATTTGTGCAGATTCTTCATTAGTTAATTTCTTTAAATATAATACAGGGCGACAGTATTTGATGGCAACAATATGAAAAGTGAAATTGATATTTATCGATCGTGAACCGACGCAAAATGGCGTTTTGAGAATAATAGCCTTCTTGGGCTACTTTCCCTTTAGGCTAACAACTAAAATTTTGTGTGTCTTCTCTACTTTCAGTACATAGCTTTTGCCTCTTATAATTTTAAGTAGAAAATCAAATTTAATAATACAAATTTATTTTCATTTCTCGCGGTAATAACAGGCAACACGGAATGAGAATTATTTACAGTTCCCAAGTTGAAATCCTTTTCTAGCATCTCGCTCGGTAAATTACCCGGAATATTACGTAATATTCAAAGCAAAAGTGCAATTCAGAAACACAGAGAAATAATCGTCCATCCATCCAAAAAAGTGTTATTTACAAACGATTGATCTGCCACATCTTATACTTCTAAGCATAGATTCCCCTTCCTATTTGAAATACCTCCAATTTCTATAATTTTGTGGAGCACGCAAAACATAAGTTGTAATAAGATAGATTTTAACGTCAGAAAAATACATGTTAATTAAACTAAACCTTAAAATATACGTATTTAAGGCATTAATTAGTAATAAACGGACCTATCAGGCGCTAAAACATAAAGATTAATTTCAAATTATTGCTCGCGGTTTATAATATATTATAACTTTTCTTTTTCCTTTTTTACTGTACGAAGTAAAAAGGAAGTATTGTAATCGTGAAAAGTTTCAGGCAGCATATTTCAACCAATATATCCATTTTCACCGCTATCGAATGCAATTTAACCCGGCATTACACGCGCGAGAAAAACGAACGGCATTACACGCGCTGGGTGTGTCATACCCAGGGTGGTTTTTTCCTATTTTCTACTATAAAATTTACACAAAACATAAAACAGAAGAAAAAGATAAAAGTTGAAACAGTTTTAAACATATATTTAAAATATTACTTACAATTATTCTGTACATTTCTTGCAAATACACGCCATGTGTTCCATACACACATGTTTTTGACATTTTTCACAAATATATTTTGTTTTTTCTGTCCTTTTTAGATCCACATTCAGCACATCTTTTAATTATTACTTTTGCCTTCTTAGCAGATGGTTGAGAGTCCTCATTCTTTACCAGTTTTACTTTCAAACTTTGCGGAAGCATTGTTTGCTGGCTTCTGATCTTTTTGTAGTCTTCGATTAGTTTAAATCCCAAACTTTTCAGAAAAGAACGTCGTGTTCGATTCTGAGTCGGTGGTTCCTTAGTGGATAGCAAAATAACGCGTGCATTTATAGCAGCTACATTCAACATTGCATAAAATATCGTCATAGGCCATCGATTTGTTTTTTTTAGTTGTTGAATATGTCGCAGCCATTTCGTCGACGACATCGACAGCTCCTTTCGTTATATTATAGAAAGTTATTATTTCGGGTTTCTTTGATTCTCCAGTAGCGATGTCTATTGCATTATCGTTATGCATTGTTGAGAGCAGAAGAACATTTTTACTCTTCTTTGGTACATACGAAACAACAGTCGTTTCTTTCTGAAATCCAAACATGGAAGAGTAAGCGTCCCTTTTTTTTTTGTACTCAAGAATATTGGAGGAATTTCTTTCTTATTTTTTCTCAATGTTCCAACAATTGTTATATTTTTTTTTCAAAAGTTCTTGTGAAAGTGGATAAGAAGTGTACCAGTTATCCACTGTTAGATTTCTTCCTGAATTATACAGAGGTTCCATCAATCTTTTTACGACACTACTGGGAGAATTATCTACTTGAAATGGACCTTTCGGCTGTTTACCGGCATATATTTCCATTTTCCAAGTATAGAACACTCTCGAATCGACGAGCGCAAAAACTTTTATTCCATACTTCGATGGTTTCTTTGGCATGTATTGGCGAAATGGACATCGCCCTCTAAAAGGTTCTAATTTCTCGTCTATAGTTACGTACTCTCCAACGTTGTACGATTTTTGGCAGTTTTCTACAAAATTTTCGAAGAATTCACGTATCGGGGCCAATTTGTCTAATTCTTTTCTGCTCTGGCGAGTTTGCATATCATCAAATCGGATGCATCTCAATAAAAATAAAAGCGTGTTGATGACATGGTTGTACGGAATATTTCTATTCCAGTGCCGTCTGTTGCCCAAAGATCTCGTATATACACATGTGATGATTTATGCCAACCAATGAGATAAAGCAATCCAATAAATGCTTTAACTTCAGCCTCATTAGTTTCTTTTGCATCTCTTTCCCGTGAAAAACGCTCTCGAATCGATTCTATAAAACTGTTAGTCCAATGCACTAACTTCTTTATCATATCAGAAGATATAAGGAGGTTCCAAGCATCCACAGGAGAAGTTACATTCTTTGAAACGGGTGTATTTCCTGGGAGTTTTGATATTATATTTTTCGCAGAAATTCTAACATTAGCTTTGAATTTCTCTTTATTCCACTTCGTTATGTTATCTCTTCCGATAAAATAATTATCTTCACTTGAATCTGAAACATCGTTTTCAGAATCAGATTCAATTTCTGTTGAAGAATCATGATCACTACAATATTCTTCGTTATCTGGCTCTTCATTACCTGAAAAATCACTATCTTCCTCTATATTTTCTTCATCAGAAGAAACAATATCCAGTAAATTTTTCAAATACCGCATTTCTTCGTCATAAGTGCGGTAACGCGCCATAACGAAAGAACGATTTAGATACGTCTGCCTGTACTGAGAACAGTTACAGAAATGCTCGCTCTGGGTGTGAGATACCCAAGCCCCGCGATTTAAGGAGATCTATTTTTAGAATTCTTTCGCCGATTCTCCCCTTCCAAGGTTATGACCTTTGAGGCAGCTACATGAAGACTCGTCCATTTTTGTAAAATGGTTGGGAAGAAAAAGTGCGAAATAGGAGTCACTGGGTGTGAGACACCCAGCGCGATCAAACCCGGGTTAACGAGGTTTTCGCGTGATATCTGTACATAAGGAAAGAATAAAAGACTCTTTTCCTCCCAAAAAATTATAAAACTGCTTTAAAATGAATTCTGAAGAGAAATTTTCGTGGCGTCTGTGGGAACGTATGTACGTACGTATCTCGCATAACTCAAAAACGAGCAGCCTCAGAACGTTGAAATTTTGTATATAGGACTGCTATAACATGTAGATGTGCACCTCGTATTTTGGTTGCAATCGGCCGCAGCAAACGTATATAAATACATTCATATATATATCGACTCTGTTACCCGGCTCAGTGATCTCAGTTTCTTTACTCTTATATGTTTTGTAAATTGCACATTTTTTGCTTTAAAAATGATTTAATTATGTTGTTCTTATCTTCCGGTTAAGGTTTTTATGCCTTTAGTAAATCTGTATGCAGTATGTTTAGAATTATCAACAATTTTAAAGTTGTTTAAGTGCCGCTAAGCCTTTTTTTATGGCGCCCATTGATTGTTTACATTTGAAACAGCAGACTAGTGGATTTGTTACCAATCTAGAGAAACTTAGCTTCGCAACAACAAAGATAACGCCTTTATTTATTATTGCCAATTAAATCATGCTTAATCCTTTCTGCAATTTTTTCGAGGAAATAAGTGTTTAAGATTTACTTGGTAATTTTTAATATAGATATTTTGAGCTTTTATGTATTTTTGCCTTCTCGCGAAGTGACAACTGAATTTATTGAATGAGAAATACTCAATCGTCTGTGAAAAACTGTTTCTTTTTTGTTTTATTTGCTTAATTTCTTTTATACATCGTTCTAGCTTTATTATTTATTATAGTATTTGAATAGAACATGTGGCAACGATTAGATAATTCTGTTCTTTAAATCATATAAATTTTGTGCATTATGAGTTATGATATGAACGAAATATAATACTGTTAAGTGAATCTAGCGCCAGAGTGTAGCTATGGTAAACAAATACTAGACTGAATTTTAAAGAACGCATTTATTCTATTGTGATTTATACGCTGTCGGCGGAGTAGATTTAATTCAATCCAATAAGTTTAAATGAAATGCAAGAAAAATGCGTATAATTTAATATTCCGTACAAGGAAGTCATGTGGTGTACACATCAGATTTTTATAATTCTGATATGCATCAGAAAAGAATTTGATGTGTACGCGACATGAATTCCTTGCATGGAATATTAAATTATACGCATCTTTTGCTGCATTTCATTTAAACTTAGCTCCTCGAATTTCATTACAGATAGATTTCTCGTTCAATTAATTCAGTTTTGACTTCGCAAGAAAGGAAGAGGGTTCCTGTGAGAGGTTTCTAGCAACATTCTGTATGTTGCTAACAGAAACCTCTTAAAACTTACTTTCCAAATCTCTGTTTTGGCATTTTAAGTTTTAAACAAAGCACATACAAAATTTTCTTTCAAAAGTAAATGACAAAAAGTTACCGAAAATATAATATTTAAGGAGCATTTGATAATGAGCACTAAGTATTTGTCTATTTGAACAGAACATAATAGTATCAAAACATTTATCAGAATTCAAAGAAAAATGTTTTCAACAAATTTGTTTTCTTTCAGATTTAAAATTAAGGAAAATACTAAGAACAGCTGTGGTGCTGCTGGGATATTAAATGCAGTTAATTTGAAGGAAAGTAGTTAAATTGAATGGCATCAAAGAATTCGCGCAATGAATTACTGCTTTCTCAATTAATTCATAATGAGGCGAGCAGACGATCCATATGGATCTTAAATCTCAATTCCAACCCCGTTATCCCAAATCGAAGGACTCGATTTACTCGAACATTGACGAATAGCACAGCTGCCAGCGATCTCGTAAGCGCCAATCATTAACCTCTTCTCTCCACCTGCTAGCGACGTTGCCAGATTCTTTAAGGCGAAGCGGAACGGAATTTAATTTCAAACAACAATGGATTCATTCTTGCGTCTGAGTAGCCCTGTGGCAGGTAAAACGGGTGGAAAAATGGTGCAGGTTTGGGCAAAGTAGCATCTTATTTGCTTACAGATGTTGCTGGATTCGTGAAGAAAATCAAAATTGCATTTTTTGCATGATGTCAGTGAAAAGGGTGCCTATCCAAATTGATTTTCAGGAAGAGTTTGTATTGAAATTCAAAACCACCTTGAATAAAATTTCTTAACAGATTAAATTTTTCTTTCTCTGAGTTTTATTTTTAGCTCATGTGATAGATGCATAGAACTATATCATGTTAAACGTGAAAATAATGTTACTCGTAAAAACTGAAAAGAATTTACACTTTAAATAAAGATTGGCATCTCAAATGAAGTAACACTTTAATTTGCATTCTAAAATATACGAGTTTTGCCTCTAATCTGAATTGCAGCTTAATTAATTATTTCACTGTAGTCTAAGTATATGTTATTTGCAATCTGAAACTAAGGTGCATTAATGTAGAATCGGTACTTACTGTCTAGGAATATGATGTTTGTAAACTTACTTCCGATGTGGCTGTCTAGGGGCTAATAAACTAGTCCGATTTATGTAAAACTTGAATATTTAATGAAACATGAATAGTTGCTACAAACTACAAAGTAATTACATACGTAGAAGGAAATAGATGAGATTATTTACAGATGAATAGAATCGACTGTTTTTTACATGTAAACATCTTTCAGTCGCGTCATCGTCTTAATGGCGGAATCGTCTGACTTCTATCATCGGAAAAATAAAAGATTTATTCTCACAGCTTGTCGCGTCATGCGATTATAATGAACGATGCCATCCCACAACTGCTCGTCCATCCTGATGGAATGCGGCCTCGCATTCTCGTAGGAACATCTACATCTAGGGATCTGAAAAATAAAACTTAAAAAAAAAAAAAATAAAAAAAAATGATTTTTAGTTACTATTGAGGGAAAAGTCGTCTTAAATGGTTTATTTCAGCTATCTTTCCTTATCATCTTAACATCTTCAGAAATAACGGCTTTATCTCTTCTTCAGTGCTCTTTCAGTGTTCGTTCATCTTTAACAGTATATCTGAATACATACATTTCACAAACACGTCTAGATTCGTCTTCGTATTTACGTCTTTTTAAACATCGTCTGAATACTCTTCTGAATGCGTCTTTTAGATTGGATACGTTTGATGAGTCCTTAGTACCGTTGGATACGTCTTCTGAATGCGTCTTCTTAGATACCGTCTGGATACGTCTTCTGAATGCGTCTTAGATATCTTCAAGATCCGTCATTCGAATGCGTCTTCTCAAAAATCATCTTCAGTCTTCTTAAATTAGTTCACGTCTTTAAAACAATAGTCCATAGTCAAATCGGGAGAAATTTGTCTAGTCGGGAAAAACGTCTAAATCAGGAATCATCAAAATCGGTATTTCATTGTCAAAGCCTTTCGGGTTTCTTCCTATATCTTCTGAATCTGCTTTTTCGCTTCTTTTTTCTCACCTTCTTTAGTTTCTTTTGTTCCGTCTTTGCTTTCTGTATCAACGTCGTTGTCGTCAGGTTTTCTGATCGACTTCTCCTCTTCGTTGGTCTCTGTAGTTTCTTCGTCTCCAGTGGCTCCTTTTGCTTCTCTATTGCAAGGTATTTTACTGAAATTGTTCTTGTAGAATTCGAATTTGATTCATCATCTTTAGCAAATGACTCTTGTTCGGAAAAATGCTTCCCTTCAGAATCTCCTTCTGCAGTGGCGTTTTTCCTCATTGCCTTCAGAGCTAATTGCATTGTGCTTGAGTTTCCTTTTTGCACTAATTCATCTTTAACAGCATCATTTTCATTTACAGCAGGATCTGCATCACTCTGGACATCATCAGAATTCACAATCGGGAAATCAATACCACTTGCTTTGATTGTAGATGAAGTATCCAGTTTGATCACATTCTGTGCTGTAACAGGAACTATACTAACAGGATCAGTTTCTGGTTTTGGAAGCAAAAAACCATAATTAACAACTTTTTCAAATCCTTCTTCAGAATCATTTCCATTGCAATAAGCATTTTTTTGCTCTTCAGAATCATTCTCAGATTTCTTGTTTTCTGCGATAACACAAATATTTGATTTAAATAAAGAACCATCGATTTGGAATTCACCTTCAAATCTCTCTATAGG